GCTTTTGACAAAATTCAACACCCATTTATGATTAAAAAATCTCCAGAACATGGACACAGAGGGAACCAACCTCAACATAATAAAGGCCATATAAGATAAACCCACAGCAAGCATCATTCTCTATGGTGAAAAACTGAAAGCATTTCCTCTAAGCTCAGGAACAAAACAAGGATGTCCACTCTTGCCACTAGTATTCAGCATAGTTTTGGAAGTCCTAACCACGGCAATCAGAGAAGAAAAAAATAAAAGGAATCCAAATTGGAAAAGTAGAAGTAAAATTGTCACTGTTTGCAGATGACATGATACTATACATAGATAATCCTAAAAATGCCACCAGAAAACTACTAGAGCTAATCAATGAATTTGGTAAAGTAGCAGGATACAAAATTAATGCACAGAAATCTTTTACATCCCTGTACACTAACAATGAAAGATCAGAAAGAGAAATTAAGGAAACAATTCCATTCACCATTGTAACAAAAATAATAAAATACCTAGGAATAAATCTACCTAAGGAGGTAAAAGACCTGTACTCAGAAAGCTATAAGACACTGATGAAAGAAATCAAAGATGACACAAACAGATTGAGAGATATACCATGTTCTTGGATTGGAAGAATCAATATTGTGAAAATGACTCTAGTACCCAAAGCAAACTACAGATTCAGTGTAATCCCTATCAAAATACCAATGGCATTTTGTACAGAACTAGAGCAAAAAATCTTAAAATTTGTATGGAAATATAAAAGACTCCAAATAGCCAAAGCAATCTTGAGGGAAAAAAGCGGAGCTGGAGGAATCAGACTCCCTGACTTCAGACTATACTACAAAGCTACAGCAATCAAGATAATATGGTACTGACACAAAAACAGAAATATCGATCAGTGGAACAGGATAGAAAGCCCAGAGATAAACCCACACACCTTTGGTCAGCTAATATATGACAAAGGAGGCAAGGATATGCAATGGAGAAAAGACAGTTTCTTCAGTAACTGGTGCTGGGAAAACTGGACAGCTACATGTATAAGAATGAAATTAGAACACTCCCTGACACCATACACAAAAATAAACTCTAAATGGATTAAAGACCTAAATGTAAGACTGGACACTATAAAATCTTCGAGGAAAACATAGGAAGAACACTCTGACATAAATTACAGCAAGATCTTTTTTGACCCACCTCCTAGAGTAATTGAAATAAAAACAAAAACAAATGGGATCTAATGAAACTTAAAAGCTTTTGCACAACAAAGGAAACTATAAACAAGACGAAAGTACAACCCTCAGAATGGGAGAAAACATTTGCAAACAAATCAACAGACAAAGGATTAATCTCCAAAATACATAAACAGCTTATGCAGCTCAATATTAAAAAAAAACGACAACCCACTCAAAAAATGGGCAGAAGACCTAAATAGACATTTCTCCAAAGACATACAGATGGCCAAAAGGCACATGAAAAGATGCTCAACATCACTAATTATTAGAGACATGCAAATCAAAAGTACAATGAGGTATCAACTGATACTGGTTAGAATGGGCATCATCAGAAAATCTACAAACAATAAATGCTGCAGAGGGTGTGGGGAAAAGGGAACCCTCTTGTACTGTTGGTGGGAATGTAAATTGATGCAGCCACTATGGAGAACAGTTTGGAGGTTCCTTAAACTAAAAATAGAACTACCATGTGTCCCAGCAATCCCATTACTGGGCATATACCCAGAGAAAACCATAATTTAAAAATACACATGCACCCCAGTGTTCATTGCAGCACTATTTACAGTAGCCAGGTCATGGAAGCAACCTAAATGCCCATAGACAGACAAATGTCTAAGGAAATTGTGGTACATATATGCAATGGAATATTACTCAGCCATAAAAAGGAATGAAATTGTGTCATTTCTAGAGATGTGGATGGACCTATATACTGTCATGCAGAGTGAAGTAAGTCAAAGAGAAAAACAAGTATTGTACATTAACTCATATATGTGGAGTCTAGAAAAATGGTACAGATGAACTGGTTTGCAATGCAGAGGTGGAGACACGGATGTAGAGAATAAACGTATGGACACCAAGGGGTGAAAGCGGGGTGTTGGGTGGTTGTGGGATTAATTGGGAGATTGGAATTGACATGTATACACTAATATGTATAAAATAGGTAGCTAATAACCAGCTGTATAAAAAAATAGAATTAAGTTAAATTTAAAAAAAAACTGCCAAAAGGAAACTTTGCAGAATGGCTATAACATTTCACTTTCTTACCAGTAATTGTATTAGAGATGTGGATTCTCTGCATCCTCACCAGCATTTGCTGTTTTCACTTTTTAATTTTTGCTGTTCAAATAGGTGTGTACATATACCTCGTTGTGGTTATAATTTGCATTTTCCTAATGACTAATGTGTTTCATGTGTTTATTTGGCATCCATATACCCTCTTTGGTTGAAGTGTCTATGCACTTTGTCCATTTTTCTAGATTTCTGTATTGTTGAGCTTTGAAGCTTCTCTGTATATAAGTCCTTTGTCAGATATGTGGTTTGCATCTATCATTCCAAAACTTGTCGTTTCATCTATAAAGTTAGAATTGTCTTTTAAAATATTCTTTGTAATAGAGTGGAGATTTGACTGTTATTTGGAGGGGCTAGATGTATTAAAATCAATGTCAATTAACACTCAATTTGCAGTAAAAATTTATGTGGGTTAGGAACTGAAGTAGTGTGTATGTGTATGTTTCTTTCATGAATGATCACCAAATGAAGAATATGTTTGTTTTTAGTGGCTTACCTGAATTATATTTGCTGAAAAGAGGCAGATTAGATACCTACCCTGCAACCTCAGGCATTTTACTTACCTCTTCTGAGCATGTTTTTTCACCCCATGAAATGGGGAGAAATATGTTTTAATTCCATTAATACTGTGAAATCGCTAATATAGCTCTACAAAGATAAGGTATATTGTAAAAGCTCTCCTCCATTTTTTAAAAATTCACTTCTCCTTATTGTCTAGGGGACATTTGTTCCGTTGTTTCCTGTGATTTCAGATTTTGGCTTGTAGACCTTCTTCACAATCAAGAGTATATCTTAAACCAGAATGAGGATATCATTTCTTGTTGCTAAAATGGTTTTTTGCCCACACACAACTCTGATTTAAGGGAAAAATTTTAAATAGAATAAAATTAAAATAATTAATGTAAAGTTTCTCAAGCAAGGTGACTCATACAGAGAAAAAGCTGCTAGAAGGGCTCTAAGGGTGACTGAGGAAACCACTTTTCTCCTAAGAAAGACGCTTCTTAAGAGACCAAGACATCAGTAGAGTACTCTGTTCTTGAGTTTCCAATTTGAGTGCCTGGAGCCGGAGGCCCTTTGGGCTTTAAGAAGGGAGGGACAGATTTGCTTGTTATCTGTTTTTCAAAGCATTTCTCAACTGCTGTCCTGTTAGAAACAGCATTCCAAGGGTTGGCATCTGTCAGTATATGATATTAATAAATATGAATATGAAATATGTCACAGAGGTTGATCTTCCTTTAAGTTATTGAAATGTGTACTTTTTAAAAACAGTTGAGGGCTTCCCTGGTGGCACAGTGGTTTTGAGTCCGCCTGCCAATGCAGGGGACATGGGTTCGTGCCCTGGTCTGGGAAGATCCCACATGCCGCGGAGCGGCTAGGCCCATGAGCCATGGCCGCTGAGCCTGCGCGTCCGGAGCCTGTGCTCCGCAACGGGAGAGGCCACAACAGTGAGAGGCCCGTGTACCACAAAAAAATAAAATGAAACAGTTGACTAAATAGCAGTTAACCAAGTATATACAGTTATAGCTATATATAATAGTTATATATAATCAAGTATACCGTGACTGGGTTTAAATCTTGACTCTGTGACTTACACACTGGTTTTGGTCAAGCTGCTTAACCTTTCTGTGTCTTCTAATCTGAAAGCAGTGTTAATGATCATATTTATACCATAGGGTTATTCTTAGGATTAAATGAGTTCATAAAATCAGAGCACTTGTAACAGTTACTGGCTAAGCTATTATTACCTGATGAGTAATTATATAGGAAATTGTTGATGAGAAAATTAGATCCTTTAGCCAAAGGTGTTTATCTATGAGTATATTGCCCTCAAGGAGAATTTTACAGAACTTCTTTTTCGTTAGTATATGTATTTTTCATTCCAGTTACCATTGCCAATTTTATTTTGGACATTATGCTAAAATGCTTGGAACTTTTAAATATCCTCAATTTGGGGACACTGACAGTTAACCAAATTTTGTTTAGTGTGATTTGATTATGAAAAAGAAGTACAGGCAGTTCTGTATGTTTACAGAAGAGACATTTTACCTAGTCTGTAATGAGTGTTTATGACTGATGAGTAGAACAAGAAAGCGAAAGCTTTCTGGAAGGGCTGATCCTGTGGGATGGATGTGGGGAGAAACATTGTATGTAAAGGAAGCATATAGATTGGTTTTTGTTTTTGTTTTTAAAGGCAAGGAAGGGAAGCTGAATAGTAGATTGAAAAGAAAGGTAGGAGTAATTGTGTGTGAGAACCATCTAAATTGTGGAATGGAGTGTCAATTAAACCTGTACTTAGACAAAGAGGAGCCGTTGAGATGTTTTTTTTTT